GGTCCGACTCATCGGAATCGCAACCATCACGGGCGGGCCTCTCCCCGAACCGCCGCCACCAAAACAGACGGATCGGACGACCTTGAATGCACCGCGCACGCCATCTGCCTTATGCTGCACGACCTCGACCGCCATCAGACCGAAAGTAACTCGCCACCTTAGCTCTATTGCCTTTATGCCCCTGAAACTTTGCCATAGGAGATCTCAGTTCCGACCTGGGACTCCACCCCCACTTTCCCAAAAATCCTTGGCACACCCTTTTTCGCACTTCCAGACCCACATCCCACTCCGATCAGGGCGTGAGGTTGGGCGTCACAACCTTGCTCGAAGTCTGTTTCAACCGGAGCTTAGCAGGGGGTAAGAGTCTCTGCTTAGCCCAGGTGCCTGCAACCGATGACTTGTCAAGTCACCCCGCCAAGATGGCAATGGGTGATGGTCCTGGGTGGTTAACACTAGGGTAGGACAGGGGGTGTGGGGGTGCTCCAAGGCAAAAAAATAAGAGGAAGGGTGGGTGGGGTCTTCAGAAGGGGTTCATCTGGACAACCGAGTGGCTGAGTACTGTGAATGACAGCCCTCCGTCTAGTATCCCACCTCTTCAACAACCTGGGCTTTAAAAAAAAACAAAAAGAAAAAAAAACAAGAAAGAAACAGAAATCAAAACTTTAAGCCCAACGAATTCAATTACCTGTCAAATCTGGACAGAACGGCCTTTCAGGCCTTTTTTTATTGCCATTATAGTATTACGGGGAACCCCGTAGCAGCCACATCCGTGCTCAAGCCTCCAACGAGGGAAAGGATTAGCCTTTTAATTTAAAAAAAAAAAATAATAAATCCAAACTTTCAAAGTCTCAATAGCGAATTAGAAAAGCAAAACTTAGGAACAACTTATTCACGACTATTTCTTAAAGCACCAGTACATGGCCCCAGCCAAGTTGAAAGTCCGATTGAGCCTCTCCTAAAATTTAGGAGCCTCGCACGCGGTCAACAAAATAAATCGACGACACGTGACCTCCTAAACGGGCCCGAGGCCGATGGCTGTTATGTACTGGTGGTTTAAGATTGCAAAACACCCAGGGATTTGAGGGTGAACTAAACATGGGACAAAGGGCGCAGCGCGACTGGGAGCGCTGCGCCCCGCCCGCGCAGTTAGGCCGAGTGGCGCCGAGCAGTGACATGCGGCAGAGCAGCGCGAAGTCGAATCAAGCGGCGCTGAACGACAACAAGCGGTGGTGCGGTGCGGTGCTGGGGGAGTGGATTCGGGGTGGTCTGAGGTGGTGTGAGGTGGTAGTTGAGAGGTTTTGGGTGAAGGGATGATGATGGAAAGGATCGCGATAAGGGTGATGCATCGTGCGTAGAGGATGAGGCTACTACGAAGAGGCTGCTTGTGAAGGGCTGCGAAGGGTATGGGTTGCCAACATCATCATCAGAGCTATGAATGACGGGGTGTCACGTGTCCAACGAAACAGTTAGGTGCTGAAGGGCAACGAAGGGCATGGAAGGTCTGCTCCCCCCCGGACTACCAGTGAGGGGTCACTGGCAAGTTCGATGGTTTTGTCTTGCTACCTGGCAAGTGGAGGGTAAAGTGAAGCCACGGTCCGTTAATCCTTATTGTTCAGTCTTTTTTTTATGGCCGAGAGAGTGGTCATGTGATGGCTGAGTTACCTTCGGGCCGATAAGGGAGGGGGTAAAGGTTTGGGGGAGAAAGACACATCATGATGGGAGGTTAGTTTATATGCTTTGATCCATAGTTTTGCTCTTCCTGGCTTGAGTGACCTCACTTTTTTTCGTTTTGATCTCGTTTTTTGGGATGTAGCTTCAAGATAGTAACCTGACTTCGATTTTCAAATTATTGTAAATCCGATTTTTTTATTCTAATCTCTGGTTTTCAAATTTAATATTTTGGATTTTTCTATTTGATTTTCTCATGATAGGTAGCTTTAGGTTTTTCAATTCTAATTTGATTCAAGAACTGCGGACTCATGAATGAATTCAAAATTTTTCGAATAATTCTCGATTTAATCCTATCATGTTGATGATCGTAAATCAGAGTTTTGCCTCTGATCTCAAATAATTCACCGATTCAAGACAGTGGGATCATGAATGATCTCCAAAATTTCTGAATAACTCTCAATTTTTTCTTTTCATATTGACGATCGTAAATCACAGCCTCGTCTTTG